TATATATATATATATATATCTATAGGAAATCCAGATATTAAGCAGCATGTGAAACTCAAAAATATGTACACTTTTGTTGACCCCTTTCATCTCCTCATAATGACTTGATCACCTTACACACTTCTTTTGATCCTTGAAAGGTCTGTACAACTACAAAAGCTGCAAAGTACAGACCTAATGATAATATGTAGGGTATTATAAATGTAGGACATATCAGTTGTCAGCTATGTAGTTACTTTTATTAAAAAAATCTATCAAGACCATCAATATAATCAAGAGAATGAAAAAAGATAAGGTAAAATATACAAACATATTAATTATAACTACAACATAAACATTGCCATATTCTTGACACAGTCACACAAACAAATTACTTGACATCGCTATCATCTCAGTTAGATGAAAAATAGATCTTTTTCAGATATGCATCATAACTTTCAGTAGTTTTATGTATACTTTTATCTATTGGAGTAGAATGTTTCAAAGAGTCAACATCTCATTACAAACAGACTTCAAAATGGTCTGCTCAAAGAAAGATAACAATCTATAATAAGAACATGAGTTTGCAACGGAGTGACATTTTTTATCACAAATTCTGCAAAATCCAAGTAACCCATTATGAAAACATTATGAAATGAAAATGTTAAATGCTTGATAGAAACAAGAAGACAGCGATGTATAGGCATGTTTTCGTTATAGTGTTTTCATCAGCATTATTTTTTTTTGTCCTTGAAACATAATAGTGAATTCACAGTTGTAAACCCTACTGCATAAAAAATTGAGGGAAAGGCAATCAAGCACTTAAAGCGCTGCATCTGAAACTGAAAGCTTGCCTTTCTTTTAAACATTTTACAGTTTTTAAAGTGTGTCTAAAGCTAAAACATTTTTAAAATATTTTGAAAGGAATAGGGAATTGTTAAAAAAAACGTTGTCAGGTTTTTTAGACATACATCCTATTCGGGAGATTTATTTTCTTTTTTCCTGACCTGTAGACACAGCGAGAAGGGAAAGGTTAATTTAGTAATAAGATTATGTTCAAGGGCGGAAGGTCCTACAGCCACACCCATAAAGCAAAATGTAGACAAAAGAGACAGTTCCGAAGCCAAAAGGCTAAGGGCTGGAAGTCATGGAGGGATTTTTTAGGGAATTATAGGACCTTTACAGACACTTAAAATTGTGTAAAAATATAATATTTTATTAAAGACATTAAAAATATGAAACATAAAAACACATATGTATATTGGTGTTCAGCCTAAACTTGGTAAACATAAACCTCAGATACTCATATACAGAGATGATGACAAGTTATGATCAGTGAGTCCTTAGACAGGACTGCAGAGGCTTCAGGAGGCACGACCTCGGTTCCCCCTGGGGGGCCGCAGGAGAAAACCAAGCAACGAGAAGAGGACTGCAATGGAGATAATGCCTGTTGCTGCTCATCTCGGCTTTCCCGAGATGAGCAGCAAATGTGACAAATGAGACTATTGAAGCCTCTGCAGTCCTGTTTTGCTCACTCCAATGGGAGAATAGCTGCTGCTATATTCATATATGGTGTAGAAGATTTTCCACAACAGTAACCGTCCATTGATTCCAACTAAGGACTCACTGATCATAACTGTCTCGGAACTGTCTCTTTTGTCTACAGAAGTAAAAGGTTGTATCCAGTACAAGTGTCCTCTCTATTCCTTTTAACTCAAGATGTAAGATTTCCATCCCTTTCAGCACCAGTTACAATTGTCACATGGACAAATATGGTCTCCCCAGTTGGGACATAGATAGCAAAAATAAATAATTAAACCATCAACAGTCTATCCAAAAAAGTTTTGATTTTAGGTACACTTTAACACAGAGGAAATACAGTACACTAGGGAAATAGCACCATTAATTTAATAATGAAGACATGTTCGAATCAAGCTGGGACATTATGGAGATGAAATGAGCCTAACTGACGTTTTCATGAACCAGCAATCTTCCATGCCACAGTTTCACATGTTAACTCCTTAGCTTAATTAATTTAATTAATTCAGCCATACTTACCTGACAAATTGAAGTGCTATATTTGAGTAGACAAATGTGTCTAGCATACAGGTCTCTGAAAATGTAGCTTCTAAAACACATATTGAAAAACTTATTTAGACAAGAATATTTTCCTGCTGTCTTTATCATTAAATCAAAATGCCACCAAAACAGTCCTCACGCTGTCTTATTTATATTGGACTATAAATTAATACACATATGTTTACAAAAATGGAAACTGAAGAATGTGTTTTTGTGTTGTACAAACATTAATTGGATATGTGTTGGATATTTATTTTCATTTGAATTCCATAAGCTGATTAAATATTATTAAGAATATAGGTTGAACTCGATGGACTTGTGTCTTTTTTCAACCTGACTAACTATGTAATATATTTATGAGACTTGTGGAAAATAATTTAAGACGTGTATTTGCATTAAATATGAATTATTTTTTACACAATAATTAACATTATTAAAAATAAAACTTTAACATGTCGCATAGAAAGAAATAATGAAATAATATAATAAGCCTATGTCAGAGGTTAAACACTCAATTAGGATATTATTTTTGTACCTTTTAAAACTTTTTTTTCAAAGCATTAGTTTGAATTTTGCCAGAACACCCTAAAAGTACAAAACTTTACCAATTAAGTCACAAAAATGCAAACTGGTTCTGTAAATCCTTTTGCATAAAATTTTAAATCCAATACATTTTGAAACAGTTTCTTTTCTTTTTTTTTTTTTAACAACGCTTTCCATGCTGCCTTCTATCAATGACGTTGGCATATGCCCACAAAAGGACAACCTGGTACGCACCAAGGAATGAATGCCAAATGTTAGTCTTTATCTCTCCACTTTAAACTAAGGGCCATTCGGTTCTTAATAAAGATCTGCATTTTACACCAGGGGTGGCATTAAGCATTTTTCAAGTCAAATATTTTTCTCTTTCTTTTTTATTTTTTTTATTTTTATCAGCTTCAGTTGTTTCCATGGTCAGTTCATGTGTCACTTTCTTGTTTTAGTGCAATAAGGTGAACACAATGATATGCAATAATAAAAATATAAACCATTTAAATCAATCAGCAATTAAGAAAGTGATTCACTGAGATATTGACATGGGTAAGTATGCTCCTGTAGGGGATACTTTAGTATTAGGGTTCAAGTTAAAAGTTAGTGTTAAGGTCAAGGGTTAGGAGCTTATGGTGCAGCAATATGTATGTGGGACCCATGAAGGGGACATTTTAAGGGTTAAAATTTAGAATTAAGGCTAAGTGACGTAACATTTTACTTGTTAATGGTTAGGTTAAAGGTTAAGGGTAAATGTTTGGCTTGCTGTCCAGTTAATTTTAGGGGTGAAAACATATGTAAACCCCCCACAAATTTGTAATATATTGCAGCTTACCAGTCCCTAAATGTGGTGTCTACAGTAGTTTTTCCGGTTTGTTTTTCTTTATTTTCCCCTAGTGATACTGCCAGTAGCACACTTCCTGCTTTATGTGCCTCCACTCTATGTAGGAGCAACAGCACTGTCAAATTGGGAAGAGTGAAGTGTTTAGTGGCACTAGCAGATTTAGATGGTCTTGACTAACATATTTTACTTAAAATGCAGCTAATACTTTTTTGGAGTTTTTATTTTTCCTTTTGGGATAAAAGTTTCACATAAATAAATAAAAGATAGCCATTGTAAGAACTCCTGTCAATATAAAATGGTTTGTCTCAACCTTTATATGCCACTTTTGCTGCACAGCTTGGTCTCTTAAAAGAAATTGAAAAATAACAGACTTAACTGGCTGGATAACTGGCCAGACCACCAGGTACAAATAAAGGAAAAAACACCTAAAATGACAACTCATATAGCCACCACATTTAAGAAATGGTAATACAATATATTAAACTTTTGTTTCTGGGTTTAGATATGCTTTACATAAGTGTTATAGTTCATATATGGATAATATTACATTTTAATGCCAGGTAGGTATAAGTTGTAGGTAAAGGACATTTTTGGTCACTGTGTAGTTTGACATGTTTTATTTATGAAAATCTCTACAGTGAAATATAAAGTATTTCTCAACATCAAAATCTAAAGCATCAATTTTCTCACTGTCGGCATTAAAAAAAACTATAATTTGTGTATAAAATTACGTTCTGGCCAATCCTAAAATAGACTTTAACACTGTAGATACAAATAGATATATAATACACCTGTTGCATGTCAGTGCGAACAAGAGTCGCAGCACATTATGGCCACTAGAGAGAGCCGAGGAGCATAGGAAATTCCTATGCTTCTTGGCTTCATCTAGTGGCCATAATGTGCTGCAATTTTTGTTCAAGAGACATTCACTCATACCATATTTTTTTTAATTGACAGGTTTCAAAAAGGAAAGCCTACACCAGTGAAATTAATTGTGCTTGTTAGGTTTCCTATTTCTTTATTTGATACTAATTGGTTGCTTACTGTTAAGATGGATTGACCTTTTAAATAATAAGCAAACAACAAAATAATTCAGGTATATAAACAGCTTCAGTATACTAAAGTCAGATTGTACTTAAAAAATGTTCTAAACACAGCTAAACAAAGATAAATAGGTGTTGCTTGGTATGTATGCTATCATTTAATAGCATGTATACCGACACTATAGAAGGTTCCATCTATGTCTTGTTTTGTCACCATTATTATTCAGTGTTTCTTGTCTGAAGATTCATATCATTACATAGTATTGCTTCCAAGCCATCATGTTATTTCTCTAGTAAATGTTGACATACCCTGTATGCACCAATGTAAATAAAACACAGTACCTAACATGCAATACCTATAATATATGATATAATGTAAATTAAAATTATGTAAAAAAAATTGCATCACTGGCAAAATACAATAAAATGTGTAAGTAGCAGAAAACAGATTATGAGCAGTACTAATTTCTAGTGATTACATTTAATATATGACTCCTGCATTGTTTCTTTTGGATTCTTTTTTAATTATTATTTCAATTTCTTTTTGTTTATGTTACATCTGACATGCCAAATGAAGCAACCACTCTCTTCTTTTTTAGTCTATAATTTTCTTTGTTCTATTACAATGGATAGTGTACAGTGAAGGTGTAATTAACATGTATTAACAACATTACTGTGGTTGCTCTATAGGTTTCTCTTGTTCATCTTTTGAAAACCATCAGATTGTTACGACTTTTACGTCTTCTTCAGAAGTTGGATCGTTATTCTCAACATAGCAGTATAGTCCTTACTTTATTAATGTCCATGTTTGCCCTTTTGGCCCACTGGATGGCTTGCATTTGGTATGTCATTGGGAGGATGGAAATGGAAGAAAATAACCCCCTTACTTGGGATATAGGTAAGGTGATTTTTGCTATATCCCATAATGAAGAAGCATTGTGTTAATATATAGTTATGCTACTTAAAATGAAAGATGCTAGTTTGTGTTATATGGATCTTTTATACCTATGCAGTGATTAAACTATAATTATTGATGATTTACTCTGACTGATAAAGTAACTGCTTGAGGCAACAAGCCAAATAGGGGATGACATGTGAACAATAAAAGGATTGTACAAGCATCAGCTGTACTTTTTATCACTCTTAGGCCACATTCACGCTGTAAACGGCCCGGCCCAAACCTCATCCACACTGTAAACGGGGGCGTGCAGCCGCATATTCCCATAGAGAAGGACGGGGCTGCGTACTAATCACACGCAGCACCTGTCCTTCCCTGGAGCTGCTCGATACGGCCCTGCACACAGCACGGAGCTGTATGTGCGGGTCGATTACAGTATGAATGAGGGCTAAAGTTCTGCAGCATGTTCTCTTTGCAATTTGTTCACTGCTCAGGTGCACAGATGTAAGTTAAAAAATCATGCAAAGACCACAACAAAGACAAGCAAATATCTCTATTTTTTACCCTGAGTAAGGAGATTTCTTACTTATATTCAATCCTATTCAATTAAGACAATTGTGACACAACTGCAGAGCTGACAAAATGTTAAACTACTCTATGAATTTAAAATCTGCAAAGCCCAGCAGGTGGGCTAACAGTTATTAGAAGCAAAAGAGGAGCAAAGGTCTTTAAGGTCTTTTTAATTGTACAAAATAATTAATTACTAGACAACTTTAAGATTATAAACATGTAGGTAAGGCATACATATAAAATGCCAGTGTCTCAGCTTTACAGGGGTTTAAGCATAATGACTAATGGCCTTATTTGGCAAATAGTTATTGGTGCTAATTCTTGATGCTAATTCTTGTATATATGCAGATATAATAAGCCACTTAATCCATGTATGTATTCATTTAACATACTTTACTGTATTTTTGAGCAGTACCTCATTCTGTCTTTGTACTAGACTCCTGCAATCCTCTGCATATCAGCATTTAGACTAGGAGAAAATGGGGCAGTATTGCAAGCCAGTCAGGTTTTACCACGTTTCAGTGGTGTGCATTTAACAAACTGAGTGTGTTGATTGTATGAAACAGCACACAGGTAGCTTCATCAGTGAGGTGCTGTTCCTCCAATTTCTAATCACTTTTAACAAAACTGTATTGCTTTGTCTTCAGTGGAGAGTGAAGATTTGTTACTATGGGGTCTATTCACTAAGCTGCCGTAGGCAGCTGAGTGAAAGGCCGACCTGCAGTGAAGTGAGCCGAACTCTGTTCGGCTATTCACTTCAGGCTGGTACGGCTGATCTCAGCCATATATCGTGTGAAATCAGCCGTACATTGGGTGGCTTCACGTGGCTTCGGGTCGGCTGAACACGCTCAGCATGTTCGGCCGACCCGAAGTGCAGGAGGAGTTCGACTCATCTGGATTGGCTAAGCCGAACCTCTGGCTGGCTACTCGCTGCTGTTCAGTCTACTCTCAGCTGTTCTGCTCGGTCCCTCAGAGGGACCGAGCAGAACATAAAATAGTTTTAAAAGTTGTTTTTAAAAATAGAAAACGATTGTGCGGAGCTAGCAATGACAGCTAGCTCGCCCAATAGTTTTCTACTGGCTGGCGGTTCTGCTGCTGTCAAAAAGAAGAAGAAAAAAAACTCTCCCGGGCGCTCTGGGAGTCTCCTGCTCCCAGCCGCCCAGGAGAAAAACACGGCTTTTTCTTTTTTTTCCTTTATTCTGACACAGAGCCGTGTCAGAATAGAAAAAAGAAAAAAATGTTTTTGCGCATAGGAATTTCAATTTGCATTAGCCAATAGTAAACTAGCATTGCACCCGCCCTCTGCTGCAGTTCTCCATCAGGTCCATCAGCAGAGGGCGGGTGCAATGCTAGTTTACTATTGGCTATTGCAAATTGAAATAGCCAATAGGAATGTAGCAATGCATTCCTATGGGCAAAAAAAGTATTTTTTTTTCTATTCTGACACGACTCCGTGTCAGAATAAAGAAAAAAAAGAAAAAGCAGTGTTTCTCTCCTGGGCGGCGGGGAGCGGGAGACTCCCAGAGTGCCCGGGAGAGTTTGCTGTCTGGAGATCAGTGTCCCTGGTTAGCTGGTAACCAGGGACGCTGATCTCTCTGCAAGTGACTGGAGCCAGCCGTAAGATCACGGCTGGCTCCACCCAGCTGTAAGAAGCAGGCTGTCGGCCAGCTTCGGCTTTCAGCGCGGCTTAGCCGAGCCGAGGCATATGCCTTCGCCTAGACTGAGCCGCTCAGCTAAGTTCGGGAGCTGTACGGGCTATTGTGAATAGCCCGTACAGCAGCCCTTCGGTTCTACTGAACCGAAGGGATCCTGGGGCCGAAGCTAGCCGAAGGATCGGCCAAAGCTACGGCTAGATCCTTCGGCTGCTTCGTGAATAGACCCCTATGGGTTACTACACAATTTAGCTCTGAAGAATAAGAACTCTTGTAATCCTTTCCCTTCTGCAATCTGTACATTAACATTACCCTGCACAATGCCTATGTAGAGAGAAATGTAATCTACATTTGCCCTTTGACAGCCAGCAATGTTCTCACCTGAAAACTGTGAAACATGGCTGTAACTGACAGCTCCTACCCCCACTAAATAACAGAAACCAATGAAAGTGGTTCCTGATCATCTGATTTCTATATTACCTGAGACAGTGATCACATGCAGGCTGGAAGTTCAGTCACAGGAAATTAGCCTGCAGCGTGGAGATAACACTGCATCCTAAAAATGGCAGTGTTCCTCTATTTAATACTGTAATTTTCAGTATACTGATATACTATTTAATACTGTAATAATCATTGTTATAGTTATGTCAATTTTTAAGCTTGTAATGAAAAGCAGCCAGATCAATAGCAGTTCTACTTCACAATCCAGCCATTACTACACTCTTATGGTGCACATCTTATCCCCTCTACAGGCCAGCCACAACAAACAAGAATTGGCATACAGCAGAGTCTAATTTTATTTTAAAAACTCCCACCACTCAAGCATACATTTGATACCATAGGACTATGTTGTGTTCCTTCTCATGGACATTCTATATAATAAATAGCATACGCATGGAATATATTAAAATTGCACCAAGTACTAACAGTAACTGTAGTAACCATAGTTCTCACAACTAACACATGCATTGCAATTTATTGTATTAAACATAGATGTATTTGCCTTTAAAGATGCCTTAAAAATGCACTTTGCAAAGAATACCTAATCATGTAAAAAAAATTGATTTTTGCTTCTACATGATTGGAAGAGTGAAGTCAGCACAGCTAACCCACATTTACTTAGCTAAATGAATTCCTTTGCAAAGTGAAAATGTACTTTGTAAAGTTAACACGCTCAATTCATTTAATGAATGAGAGTCATTATATGTCTTACCAAACAGCTTTCCACCCAGCTGCGTGATTGACAGCTGGCTCTGCCTAGAGGCAGAGCCAGCTGTACCAGCCCCCTCCCCCATTTGTTCCTCTAGTCAACACTGGAGGATCGGACAGGGGAGGGGGGAATCCCTGTAGGGAGCCGTGAGTAACAGGCATGGCTCTCTGCAGGCACAGGATCGAGAAGTGAGCGAGCGACGGTATGTGTTTGCTCACTTCCCGATCTATTAAGGATTATAAAAGTCAGCAGAGCTTCACCTCATCCACTAAGCTAAGGGAAACATGTCCTTAGGTGAACAGCCTATTTGTCTTCAAGAAACCCCACTCAAACTGTAAAAAAAAAAATTATTATAGGTATTTGGAGAGTACACAAGTTTGGCCAAAACCAATGAGCTGTTGGGATTTCCAAAGGCAGCAATCTGGAACGTGTACTAGAACCGAAGACATCCATTATGTGAATGTCATCCTTTAAGGGATGAACATTCAAGAAGCTGAGTGGCTAGGGCCATGATGGCAAATCATAAGTGCCAAAGAACATCAGTTACGATGACAATGCAGTTTTTGCTGCCATGATAAATATCTGAAAGAACTACACATTGCACTCTTTGCTGTATGAAATTTAAACAGCAGACAACATCAATATGGTCAGTATGACAGCCAGTCAAGTAGCCTATTCAGAAAGAAAAGTTAGTAATTAAAGCCTCCCTGTTTCTCTGCTGATAGCTTTCCTGAAAAGTAGCTTCAGCAACATATCTATATTATTAGATTAATATTTATACATTTACAATTTAAATAGTTTGATTGTATATTGTTTGTATCTTGTATATTTCAGAGGTTTTAAATGAAAGATTGGTAATTCAGTTCTCCAGCCTGAAAGATTGGTTTTAAAATTATGTAATGCTTTTTGGGTATATTGGTTTGCAATAAAATATGTTTTAATTTCTCCTATCTTGCAGAATAGTAATTCTAGTTATTAATGCAAAATATAGCTCACAAATGGTAAATAAGTCTTTGAAATTCATCAAGATTTCCTTGGTGTTCTCAATGCTGTATGTTGATTGGTAACCTTCCAGATACAATGTATGTGTGAAAGACTTCTTACTATTTATTACTTTGTGCATACACATATTCATTGTTTTATTTAATGTGCTTGCTTTATTTTTTTATGAAGTCTCTCGTTGGAACTATAGCATCAGTAGTTTCAGGTTTTGTTAATTAACAGTAATGATGTATGTTCAATTTTAGTGCTGGGTGGTTTTAGAACACTGGATCATTTATCCGGTACAACCTGTTTATTAGGTTCAGATGGCTAATGTGTTTACTAGGCACTGTGGCTTATAGTATATCTTGTATAACTCAATTTTAGTAGGGGAGACTTAAGACCACTGTCAAGTTTAATTGCTGTATGTGCCCATCACTTGGTAGATTCACCCCTTTATTTGTCCCACTGTCACCCAGAATGAGAGTGAGCGTAAAATCCAAAATTTTAGAGCTATCATCAGAGAAAAGGTGTGAGAGGAAAACTTCAAATTTAGACATCTGTTCCAGTGACTTCTTCCTATCACT